AAAATTTACACAGATATATTTAATTATAATTAAAATATTAAAAATTATACACAGTAGATTAAAAAAATGAATGCAATAATAATATATTATAGCAAATTAAGAATTTAATATCATTAACCCTATTTAATATATATAAATATTCAGTTTCACTTGTATTCTCAATTTATCAATTTTATGTATTTAAATAATTCTTGTTTAGAATATAATATTTAAACTTTAAAGAATTCTATTCAAAAGTGTTTGATCCTGAGGAAGGCTATATAGATAGCCAAAAGTGTTAGATAAATTAAAAATAGTTGCTGGAATAGGTTTTTGTCTTTATATATTTAATTTCACTTTTTATTAATTTTATTTTTCACTATTTCCTCCCTGAACACCAAGAAGGCCTTTTTATATCCATCATGGTTCAGCTAAGCCCATAACAGAATTGACTGGATGGTGAGGGACAGGCCTGACATCTCGACAAACAGCTTATGAAAAAATTCCTGAAGGTTTTTTAACTTCCTGAATTTGATCTCAGGTCTCCCAAAGTAATAGATTGACACCCTAACTGCCTCAGCCATCTGACTATCAATCTAAATACTTCAAAAACTACTTAAATTACAAATTTACTTAATTATACACACTTTTCATAAAAATTACAATTTTAACTATATTTTCTTTTTTAAAATATTCAAAAATTTATTATTAAAATAGTTATGTATAAAATTATTTATTATTGAATTTGTATATCTAATATAAATCTATTTTATACTATGTATTTAAAATGTAATTTATAAACAATAATTGCATTATTTTTAATGATGAGTAATATATTGACTTAAAGAAATTTTGACTATATTTTTAATGAAATTTTCAGTTTAAATTTTAAAAATATTAGAATACTGATGCTTTTCAGAATAGTTTGCCATTTAAATTATATTATACATTCAAATCATTGCTGTATCAGTTTAAATATAAATACATTTTTTAAAGTTTCTTAATCAAGTTAAAATCATAAATCTTTAATAAGTCAAATTAAACTGATAAATCAAAAGAATATAATAAGTTTATTTTGATTTATTTGGTAGAAATGATCAAGCATTTTAAAAGAATTGCATTATATTTTATGAGCTTTAACAACATTTTCCAGGAAAAACTTAAAAGAAAGTAAAAATTTTCTATTGTCATTTTTAGATGACTAAACTATATTTTAAATGCAAGGTCATTTGGAAAGTAAAAAATTTCCAAACCAGTGGTATATATAAGCTTCAATGGACCATGTACAGGTAAATGGGATTTTACAAACTCCATTAACTCAAGCCCAAAAAATATTTCCTAGAAAGTTGAAATAATAAAAGTCATATATAAATAGACCTGTCATTATGCTTTGTATTAAAAAACCAATGAAATCCTAATTTAAAAACAGAAAGATAAATACAATATGCCAGAAATGACATAAAATGTCTGAATAGTACAACTATTTCATTTCAAAGTAATTTGAATAAAATGATTCTTTAGTATTTATAAAAAATAAATCTAAACATTTAAAAAGTTAATATTTCTTTAAATTTAGTAAATTAAAATATATAAGTTTTTTAAACTTTATATAAGGACATTAATGTTCTAATATGTACTGTACAGTACTTTGAGTTCTATGTATATATGCAGAATGTGTCTTAATTAATAATCAGCTTTTAGTAATTGTCAACATCAAAATAGAAAACTTTATTTTATGAATCTATAAACCTCTGAACGACCACTGACAGAAACAAAAATTGGCCATAGTTTTGAGGCCATTTTGTACGAATTTTTGTTTAAAATATTCTGAAAAATTTAGATGTGGCCTTTATTGGAGGCTCGACTGTATTATAGTGTGTTCTTTAGTTAATAAATAAATATATAACAAAATCATTTTGTACACTGATACGTTTTTAATTCTTGCGGGATGAAACAACAATCCTTTCTACATTCTGTAAATGTATACAGTATGTAATGCTTCGTGCAATATATAACATTGGTTTATTTATTTAACATCAAATATTTATAAGGAAGAAGAGGAAACGATATAGGAACGCAACGTGTCGACCTCGATACTAGAATAACACGAACGAAAATATTTAGAACAGAATAAACGAAAGCACCTGTCTGAGACAACTATTCCTCTAGTGTTTTCTCATACATTAGACAAACTACGGGTCAAATAAAAACGACAATTCAAGGTCATAATCAGGAAAAAATCTTTCGACGTTCAGTAACAACGGCAATCAATCCGTCATACAATCGCATCACGTACAGTACATTTGCGACTTCACTAGACAATGTTTGCTCATTTCCGGTCATTAATTTACTCTCTTCTAGCTGATTTGAGAGAATACAAAGGAATTATGCTGATTTTTTCCCCGATAAAGTCCGCTAAAATTATTTTCAGAGCGCAATAGAATATATATATATATATATTATTTTTTTATGGTGATGATGTTGTGATGTTGAAACGTCGCACACAGAAAGATGAGGCAAAAGGTTATCTTTCTTATTATAAACAAACTAAGATTTAATTTTTATTTATGAGGATTAAAACTTTCATTACGTAAGTATCGTCTTTCCGGTAGAAAGTCAACATGTCCTTATTTTGCTTGTTCGACTTACGTCTCATTTGCTGCAATGTCAGTCATGAATGACGACAGTCATCTTTCTTTCCGAGAGGGCTGAAGTGTTTGAACATAAAAAACAAGTCAACGATGATCCGTGTCGTGTGGCTTGACTAATGAAATACAACTTAGAAGACAGTTCTATCGAAAAAAATCGAATGTTTAACAAGATTGTCTACATATTATCTTTCCTTATAATTATCACTCTTGAATCTGTTTTGAGCCTCTTAAAAACTGAATAAGATTTAATATACTATATTTATAGTATTAATGTGTTAAATTCTTTCCAGTTACATATTCATACACATCACATATGGTTGACAAGACTGCCATATGTTAATTAATTATAAGATTTTCATAAGGAAACTTAAATTACATCACCAGTATCTTTAAACTGGACAAAATAAAGTTCTAATTCAAGAAGTTACTATATTTTTTAGGTTAAAAAAATCTTTTAAAATGTATTGATTTTTTGAATTAAAGCTATTTTTTAAATTTTATGTTATTTAATTCATAGATTTTCAATAATATATATTTTTTCCATTTAAAAATTTATTTAACATAATAAAACTGTAGGAGGAAAAAATATATGTAAATATACTTAAAACTATATTTAATAAATAATTTTTAATCCTGGATTTTGTTTAAATATGGCTGTAACATAAACATGCTCATTTTTATATGCTATACAGACTTAATATTATATTAATTTTTATTAAACAAAACAGATGGTTCTGTTGTTAGATGTGCATTCTGTTTTACACATTCATCATTATTAAAGATAGTTATGCATGATGGATTATATTACAGTTTTTATTTACCACATCAAGAAAAATAGCGTCTTGTTTAAAGTTCATAGAATTGCNATAATTTTATATATATATAATTTAATCTCTTTGCATATCTAAATATGCAATCATTTTGGCATTTGCTTTATTTTTTATATACAGTAAATAAATTCCACGAAACAAACTTTCCAGTACGAAATACAAATGCAACAAATCCTAAAAAACCACTACCTTATTAATTTTGTTTGACTATTTATTTATTTTTTGGTTAAAAACACTACCATTGTACACGTCAAGACCAAATTCCTGTTCGTTTTTCGTTCGTTGACCGAGTTTAAAACGTTTTCCTCGTTTCCCACAAGAACACTTGGATGAGGCACCGATTAGGAAATAAAACAAATTATGATGGCGGCAATTAAATGCATTAATTAAAACTTGAATGATCATTCAAGTTCTGTCTTGTACTGAAGTTCCTAAAAATTTCCAACACTTAAATACGAAGCATTTAACAGTTATGCGCCATGAAATCGAGAGGTGGATGCGTGTAAACGCTTATTTAATTAATAAAAAACATTCAAACCGGCAGATTTAAACTGTAAATGAAGAATTGGAACGATGCCATTTCGTTTCACAGCTTTAAAAAAAAATAAACTATGCATTCAAATCTCTGATCTCCACGCCTATTTATTATACAAAAATCAGAATTTGACCTTCGAAAATTAAAAATATCAGTGAAAGTTTCATTGTTACAGATTATCTGAATGATTACTTCGTGTTAAAACAGTCAGCAGTTGTGGAAAAAAACTGCTTACTGAATGTAAAAGGTCAAAAACATTAATTTAAACAACCTCTCTATCTCTCGTGCAGTGATGCAAGCTTAAAATGTAATTACATCATATAAAGGGTGGTCCAAAAGTCGGTTAACTGTTCCTATGTGCAATTTTGAATACGAAACGTGTATCGAATTTGTATATTGAACGAGTTTGTAAATAATTAAGATATGAATACGACTTCTACAGCAATTAGCAACCCTGTAACAGTTACTTTTTACCCGAATATTTTACACAGTTCTACTAAATTGATTATTTAAAGTAATTCACGGTACGTATATTAATATATATAAACATTAAAATACAGTCTTAAATTGCTTTAACTGAACAGTTTCATTTTTTATTTATTTAGAATGAAAACTAACCGAAAAATAGTAAACGTAACATCCATTTCCTATGGAAAGAAAAAATAATAATAATTTAAGTTCAAGATAAAAAATAAAATAAATATAATTTGTGTAACTAAGTAGTCATAAGTAAACATTATTTTTCAATTAAAATGCTAAATTAGATTTTTAAATTTTCGATCCAAAAATAAACAAAAGAGAAACAAATTTTGCCTTAATTACATATTTAAAAAAAGAAAAAAACACGTGCTTGTACATGATTATCGCAGGAGGGCGCACTACAGCAAACGAATTCACAATTGATGACGTAACAGACAACAAAACTACCAGTACAATTTTTAAAAAATGTTAATGATAAGAACGCATTGTAGCAAACAAAATAAAATAAAAAAATCTGTAACTTACTGGGCAAAATAGTATTTCCTGTACATACAGGTTCTCCCGTAACTGGATGAAGCCATGTTGTGGTCCTCATTTCATCACTAAACAATGGAGAAACGAATTTTTTTCAACTTTTGTTTTTACGATTTCTAGTATAATACTTAAAAAAGATTTTAAAGTATATTATACTTACTTAATGAAAAATATTCTTCCGTCTCTCGTCACGGCAAATGACCAAGGTTTTGGCAGACCACGGCGTATAAGTTCCACGGCCATGATATAGGCAAACACTCCTCTCCAACTACTAACTTAAAGGTCACTGAACAGTTAATGTTGACACTTTCTAGTCTTCGTTTCACATCTCTGATTGGAAGCCCGATTTACATTTACCCGCGATCGATCACATTTATGATCGATTGTACGAATTTTGTAGCCAATTGATTATTTTCATCACAACTTTCTTTACTACGATTTTCTCGACGACTGTTTGCGACAGTAAATCGTGGATTTTCACGTGCGCCACTCTATTGGTTCGGTGAAGTGGAATGTGGTACATACCACTTTACTATTGGTTGGTTCGTCTAGGTAGGGGTGCTGTGACGTATTAAGTTAACTTTTATTTAAATAAACGCGAAATTTTGTTGATTTTTCCGTAACAAAAAATGTATTAACCTATTTAAATTGCGCTTTTGTTAATAGAAGTTTTTTTAATGGCTGACTTTTGATTTTNTCCTGGGCCTATTATGGTAACAAGTCCACCCTTGGTCGGAGTCAGAGTTGGATGGTAAGGTGGAGTCAAGTAGATTTTTTAACAACTCCACAGCCCTGGTTATATTCATATCTGAATAATTAAACAAACAATTTTCTTTTACTTGATAATCTGCTCTGATCAATGTTTTATTTAATTTTTACCAAATAATAAAAGCAAAACTACATTCATTTTTACAAGAATATAAAAATAAAATAATTATGCATAATATAAAATCATTACAAGTGATTTTAGAATAATGAATTAACTCAAACTTCATTATAAAACTTCATTTCTGAATTAATACATTAATGGGACAAGTGAATTAATACATGAAGAATAATTTATATTAATGAAATAGAGTTATAGCTTAAGATTCAATTCTTATGTAAATTTGACAGACTACATCAGGGGTGGCAAACCTATGGCAGATGATTTCTCTTATGTGTCACTTTGGACACATAAGGAGAAATCATCTGGCACATAACTCATACAATTTTGATTTATAATCTCTCTTTTTCAATCATATCATCCTTTTGGTTTATCATTCAATCATCCCTTTTTCAATCAGCATTTTTACACTTATTCTAATTAAAGCATATTCATTTAATTTTTTTAAATACTGTATCATTATTCAGGGGTTCTAAAAGGTTTGCCATCTTTGGACTACATAATTAAACTTCTTAAAGCTTAAAATCATTTTTTAATATTTGTGTTTTATCAATTATGAGTTAATGAACACATTACAACAGAACAGGCCAAATTATTACTTGCATATTTTATGCCACTTTTTGACTTGTTCACTTTATCTTGCAAGATATTATTTACATTTTCTTCCATTTACATTTATTCATAAACATGTAAATATTTGATGAAAGACATCCTTCAACATATTTATTGTGTTGCAGATAACCATAACATTAATGATCAATGATTTCATAATCATTAATCCAAGCCTGCACAAGCAGACCACAAAAAATGTAGATGATGTAAAAGAAAGTTAAGGTGTAACAAGTGCATTAATTGAATTCATTATAAATAAAAGGGTTCATTTGCAAAATACTATAGTTTAATCATTAATTATATCTTTATTTGGAAAGTGACCAACAAAAAGCCTATCTGCAGCCCAAAGTTTAGCCTATTTTAATTTTGGCATTTTATGTATTGCAGATCTACACTAATCTCAAATTTTGTTAAAGACAATAAGAATAAAATTTATTAAATCAATTATTTTTGTATTATGAGTTTTGTTACTTTAATATGAAAAAAATTTAAGCCTATTGTAGTACATGTAAGTTAATACAAGATTTAAGATAACATAAGATAAAAATTATCACACAATTCTCAACTTATTTGAAGTAATATCAAGATTTGTCTCAATTTGTGATGTGATACAATGAAAAACATGTTAACCTTCATGTTATATTAAGTAGTTGAAGTAACTTAAAGCTCCCATTATTATTCATCTTAAAAATATTCACAGACTGACTCCTTTAAATAATCAAACTTTAATTCTGTTCCTTTTTAATACTTAACAAAAACTAAAACTATTTAAACAGAGTTATTATTTTTTTAAAAATCATTCTAATCAATATTCAAACCTAACATATTAAACATAATTCCAAAGAGTAGAATTTTATATAGTTTTGTGAAGTATATGCATCATTCTTCTTAGAACAAATAAAGTCAGAAAAAATTTTAGCAGGTATTTCAAATTCTATTCTAGTAGCTTATTTGATAATATGAAATGTTATTCAAAAATTTAAATCATCAGTTAAGAATTCCATGGCTAAGTGCTAACAAAGAAAAAAATTATAAATAAATAATCAACTGAATGCTAATTCAGTTGATTATTTATTTATAATCAACTGAATTTCAAACTTATGGCTTTAAGAGATCAGTTTAATCTTATACAAATAAACACTCAACAGATAAACAAATTGGAAATACATATAAAATAATTAATTTAAAATAGTTTCCTACATATGGTACATCTACATCCAATTAAATAGTTTAATTAATTTATTATTAATTAAATTATATAATTTCTGTAATACAAAATGAAGTAGTTACAAATAGCTTCTTTTATATTTCTGTATCATTATTTAACTTTTCAAAATAGCAAGCGTGATCAAAATTTTGATGTGCAAATCTATACTGTTTATATAAAATAACAATTCTAATTACTCATACCTAATCACTTATAATCTAAATATATAAAATTACTTGTCCTGACTGACTGAGTGATTCATCATCACCCAGAGCAAACTGCTGAACCTAAAGAGGTGAAATTTTGTACATAGCATATGTCATGAAAATGCACACTGAGATGGGATTTTTGGAAATTCCCCCGTGGGGGGGAGAGGGAGAGGATTAAGGCTTAACCTGAAGAACAGCTTCTACTGTACTATTTTAGATGTGATTTTTGTTTTCAACTATGTTTAATCTTCATTGAGTACTTAGGTGTATTAAATTGATAACATTTCAGACATTGTTATAAATATTTTTATATATTTTGATTTTTTTAACTAAATGTTCAAACCGGTTTAAATTCAAATTTGTTATTGCATATTAGTTTGATTATAGAACGATTGTAAATGATCCAGAAAATTGATCAAATTGAAAATAGTTTGTTTGATTCTCAGCAATTCTCATCATTTTCAGCGATAGATGTTATATAATACTGTAATTACTATGGTTGTTGAAATACTGAATATAAATGTGGTTTGCTTGCAAAATCTGCATGGGTGAAGTCGCAGGTAACAGCTAGTCTGATATATTTATGATTACATTTGATGGAATAATGATTATTCTATTAAATATGATTAAAATAAAAATAAAACAAAATAAAATGAATAAAAACTTAATAATGCTTTGATGTGGTATAAAATAACACTTTTTTAAACAAATTATTATGTTAATAATCTATATTTTAATTATTTCTAATTCAAAATAAAAGATATATTTAAAATATTTGAACACAGAACCATAGAGAGGAGGTGAGAATCAAACAGTCTTGCTGACTTGTTCTTCTGAGGTCATAGACACAAAAAGCAGCCTGTAATTTAGACTTTTATGTGAAAGTCACCATATAAAAGTGATATAAATTAGTTTTGTTTTTATAAGTGATGAAAAATCTGTTTTATTTTTGCAATTTACTCATGTAATTTTATGGCTTTCAGATCAGACACTTATTTGCAATTGGCTTGGACTTCACCTCCTCTCCTCTCAAATCCTGTTTATCTATAATTCTCATCATATAATTTACATATCAATTTTTTATTTATTTATTCTGTAGTTATAACTTCTGATTTTCCTGTTTCTACATTTTAATCTATAATTCATTTATATATTCATTTTTCTTATATTTGAAATTTTTAAAAAATGTAAAATCTACACAAATTTGGTCTTGCCTCTTACAAAATTTACATTTCCTTCTCTTCTCTCTATAAATATAAACAGTTTAAGCTTGCTAATACTGTAAAAGTTTTAGATTCTCCCCTTTCTCTTGGGAATGAGAGAATGCAGAAATATGAGAGGGAGTAAACATTTCTTTGAAAACTAATGGGAATTAAGCCAACTATCAACTGTGTTTTATATATTTTCATTTTCATAAAAAATGNATATTCAATCGGTGGAAAAACTATCTTTTTTTCTTTTATTAATATTTTAATTTATTATTAACTAGCAGATATGTCCGGCGGTGCCCGGATGAAAAGTAATATAGATAAACATTAAAATGAAATTTGCTTATTTTAGCCTACCATTGTTTGTTTATCACGAAGTGTCAAAGAGGATGAAATCACGAGGAGTGAGGTGTCCAGATTTAATGGCAGCCTATATTTTCCGCAGGCCTGTAGAGAGTTACTATGAAACCAATCTAAACCAAGTTTTTTATGTAGTATAGGTCGGGTAAACATTTCAGGAGTTAAAAGGGGGATAAGTGTAATGTCGAGGTTCTATGGTAGCCTAAATTTTACTCATGGTCTGATGAACTATGTGGTGCAGATAGGTCAAAACGCTTAGAAGTTATAGAGAATAGACATGCCGATATTCTATTTTATATATATTTATATATATGTATAAATATATATTCCCAGACAAAGGGATCTAACAAAGATGATGAAATTATTTTTTATATATGTAGATTAAATTATCATTGAAGTTAATTTGAAACTTTAGCTTCTAAAAGAAATTATATATTCTTTTTTTTTTTAATTCATATGATAGAAAAGATGAAATTTTAGTAATAAGACATTGATAAAATAGATGAAATTTCACAAGTTATTTAATATTTTAAACAGGACTATATTCGGCTATATTAACCACATAGAGATATTTATTTTCCATTTACAGTCACATCATTGATTAAATTTCTTGCAAGTCTTTTTAAACTGATATTGCAATTCTGGTCGTTTTGCAACATTCCAGAGATTATTTTAAAATAATATATAAATGTCTTTGTGAATTTATTAAATCTCTATCCTTACAGCTCTTTATTTATAATGAATAATGAGCCTTTTATTTAAAATATTGCTTTAAAAATATAAGTAATTTAAAAAATAATCGAATGTTATAGTAACCTTGAACTCTGTAGGACCTAAATTTATATAATGCCATTCATTTATTATCAAATTTATAAGCGTATCTGAATAGAAATGGACTATATGCAGGGGAATGAGTTTAGAATTCATGAAGATAATTATGCAGTGAACTGAATTAATTTAGATACGGAGAATAGGTTTAGAATTTCTAATGCTTAATCTAGTAAAAGTAAACATTGTTTAAAAGTGAACATTTACCATCGAACCTTCCCCAAGAAGACTGTTATGAATTCCGTTTAAGAAAGAGTTAAGAATCAAAATATTTGAATAAATGATTTAAATAAGAATATTTTAAATTTATAAA